TACTATCTTAAAGGAAGGGAGTAATAATTGGAATCACGTGCCGCTTCCAAATCTTACTCCACTCTGCTCTTTTTTCATTTGAAACAAAAAGGCAATCCCAATTTCAGAATCAACCCCACTTTCTCCAATCAAAAAATTCTCATCTAAATCTCATATGGTCTCAGTAAAAAGCTCACATGTGTGACCAAAAACTAATAATCTTCTCACATCTGGGGTTAATTATCAATGGCAATTCACACTTGTTTCTCACTAATACCTTCTTGTTTCTCTTCACCCAAATTGGAATTCCCAAAGAACAGCATTTTTCAGTCTCCTAGAGAAATCTGGTCAAAACTCAGTTTCAATTCTGATATGAAAAGATCGTTTGTTGGGGTACGGTTTCAAAATGGAAACGTGCCTTGTGTGGGTGAGGACTTGCCGATTGAGTATGCTGATTGGTTGCCAAAACGGGACCCAAGTGATCGTAGAAGAGCTGGAATTTTGCTACATCCGACGTCGTTTCCTGGACCTTATGGTATAGGGGACCTTGGCCCTCAGGCTTTTCAGTTTCTTGATTGGCTTCATCTTGCTGGTTGTTCCATGTGGCAGGTTCAACTTGCTCTTTGTTTAAGCTTTCTGGAATTGGGAAATTTGCTGCATTACTGTTGTGCTATAAGCAAAGCGAAAAAACTTACCACTCCATCCGTCTCAATTTATGTTTGAGAAGTTTAGAAAAGAAAAGAATACATTTGAAATTGGTGGTCTTAAACATGCCATAATATTTGTATAACTATAAAAAGCTTGTGGTAAAATAAGAAGTTTAAAGTTAAATTGTGTTTGTTATAAAAAAAATAAAAAAATGTCATTCTTTTCGTGACGACTAAAAGGTAGAGTGTGTCACATGAAATGGAATAAAGGGAGTACTGTATTTTGTTGTGACATTTTGGTTACAAGCTTGTAATTATATTATGTTACTATGCCAGCATGAATTCTTCATATCCGTAGCTTTTTTTTAAACCTCTTTTTCATAGTAGCATGGAACATACAGGTTATGTATTAGTGGGAAGATTACAAATATGATGAAACAATACTGAAGCTAACAGAATTAAATGCTAACCCACCTAGGAGTTGTAAGAGACAAATTTTTGCTACTTATTCGTCAGAAGCAAAAGAAAAGAAAAAGAGTTTATAAGTATAGTTACGCGCTTTAAAGAAATTAGCATCTAGATCGCCTGGATCTTGGCATCTCAGAAATCAAAAAGACTAGGACATCCCCTTCTTTTCTTTTGGTTTATGCTGCATCGTCCCATAGAATGGGGGAGATAGGAATTAATCAGTAATGGGAAGGCATTCATTTCAATATCTGTAAATGGTGACAATTGCTCAGTCTATTTGATCGAATTGATAGATACAAAACCCTCCCCATTCTTTGGATTTTATCAATTCGATGGAAACAAAAAGAATAAGAATTAAAATCTTACCTTATATTAATCTTTCTTTATCCATCTCATTAAAATATTAGTTTCATCAGCTCATGTATGTAGGTGTTGGAACCTACAATAGTTGATGCCTGGACTGTGATTTGTTAGTATTCGGAAAGGGGAAAAACAGCTCACTCACTTACTAATAAAGGGCTGAGAAGTACCTTTTCCGGTTATTTAGCTTTTTCCTTTGGTCCAAAGTTTGTACACTCTTGCATGCTTCTGATTGTCTTTGTAATGAATGTTTGGAGAAGCTTGTTGTCTCAAGTTATATGGTCTGGAACCTCATAATGGCATTGGTTGTTGTATATGTATATCTTGATTAATGTAGTTGGTATGCTTTTCAATATTTACTTGAGAATATAATAGCCTACTCTTATAATTGAAGGTCAAGATCCAATCTCACCCTTTATCCAAATAATGAACCCAAGCTGGTTCTAACTTTCTCATAAGTAACTGGAAACTAAAAGATTCAGGAATATCTGTATTTGTTTGCAGGTTCTTCCACTTGTACCGCCTGGAAAGAGAGGCAATGAAGATGGATCGCCCTATTCAGGCCAGGTGAAATGGATTTCTCTTTTTGCGTTTTGAGTGAGTTGGGCATCCTTTCTACATGGCATAGAAATTCAATAGAAAGCAGGATAAGCTTAAATTTCTTTGAAGAGAATTACTGAGTATTTAGGATAAAATGCTGCGAAATGAACTGCTTGAATATGCACATTCAATGAGGTAAAACTGTGAGTTTTGGTGTAGTTTGATTCGAGTTATATCCAGTTTATTCTCTTCGCAACTAAATTTATTTGATTGAGTATTCATACGGACAATGACATGGATCATTGCCTTTCTGCTGATGCTGTAGAGATCTTGAAACAATCATATCGTTCATCTTTTGCAAAATTGAAATGACAGTTTATCAGTGGTTTCTTTCAGGATGCAAATTGTGGTAACACCCTTTTGATTTCTCTTGAAGAGCTTGTTGATGATGGTTTACTGAAGAAAGAGGAGCTTCCGGAGCCACTGTGAGCCTCTTTATAGCCTTCTACTTACAATTTTTTAGTATTTCTGGATGTAGAAAATTTATCAGGAGCATTACTTCACATCAGCATTCTTATTGTTTGGTTTTTTATTGCTCTGAAGACCTGTGGATCGTATCAATTACTCGACTGTTGCTGAGATAAAAGATCCTTTGATAGCCAAGGTAAACAATGAGCAGATACTTGTTGCTAGTTCCTCTTTTATTATATAACTTCAACTATAAGAAACTATGGGTTGGAAAATACTTTCAAAAGAAGGGTTTTGGGTGTGAGGAAAAGAGAAACAAGGATGGAAAAGATACAAATATTTCGTTTCTCTCCGATTTCCTTGCATGTCTGCTCATAATGTCAAATTTTTATTCTTCTGTAATCAAGCTTTCCCTGTTTTCTTTAAAAAAATGATAGAGGAAATGATCTTAAAAGGGTAATTTTCTTCATTAATCATTTTAGGCAGCAAAGAGGCTTCTCTCCAGTGAAGGGAAACTGAAAGAACAGCTCGAAAACTTTCGCAGGGATCCAAATATATCGAGTAAGATAAACATATTCATTTCTTGATTAGTTGAACTAAAGCATGGTCTTTCAAGCTGTAGTATGATTTTTCCTCTGTTTGGTTGCTATATTGGTAGATTACATGTCAAATCCCATGGGTGTATGTAGAAATTGAAATAGGGTTTCTTGAGAGGATAGGCATACTGATTAGTATGTACTCTTTGTCCCAAGGGAACTGTCCTGCTTTCCTTGTTGGGTCATTGAAAAAAGTGTTTTTACTTTCTTAACAGAGACTTCTTATCTACAAGTTTAATATGAACCATTTTTGTACCAAAAAATTGGCTAACAACAGTTAAGTGGTTAACTTTAGTCTTTGCTTTCAGAATCAGTAGCATAACTTTTAAAGATGATTAATTTTGCACATTTCAGGAATAGTCTTTTGTCTTTGATTGCTTTTTGGTGCACCCATGAGGTCCCTACTTCTATAGATGATTGGGTGTCTTTTGTAGAGAATCATGTTTTGATGTAGATTCTCTACCTTTTGGTATACCTCTTGTATACAGGAGTTCTCCCATTATTAATAATATCATTCATCTTATTATAAAAAAACGCTTAAAGATGACTTACACTAATATGTACAGTTTCTGTCGTTTATTTCCTCCTCTACTTGCCTTTTTTCATTGAACAAATCGTCTTTAATATCTCAATGCTTACAATAAGTTATTTATCTGCTGTGTCTCTTCTCTCCTAATCCTTTTTTGATGAAGTAAGAGATATTATAAAAAGCATCAAGAAGATGCAAAACCACTGTCTTCTCTCCTAATCCTTTTTGTTTGCTAGCTGAAGTTTCAGAGCTTATGAGTTTTTCTTTCTTGAAACCAGCAGCAAATTATGC